CAGTGCATATAATTTTCCGTTACACCTCCCTTTATATTCGGATTATAGTTGGGTCCGACCTGAGTCGGGCGAGTCTGACCTGAGTGTGTCCGGGGTCCGACCTGAGTGACGCAGAAGCTGTTGAATGTTTAGAAATTATTCAGGATAATTTTCTGTATCAACACGTACTAGAACCAACTAGGGGAACAACATATTAAATCTCGTTTTCAGTAATAGGGAAATTACAATTTCAAATTTGGAGAATTAAAAATTTTTTCTTTATTTTAGAGCAGCAGATTTTGAAGGATTAAGACCTCAGCTGTCAGCTGAGGTCTGGGAAGGGATTACAAATTGCCATAGGACAGGTCTAATCGCAGGTAGTGGATTAACCCAAGATGAGGTCGTAGATGGGGGAACAGACAGGGTTGGGTTATGACCATTCTCAGATTATTAATAGAAATATGATTGAGGAATATAATAGTTTTGTTGCGAGTCTCAGAAACATCCAGAATGATTATATATATATATGCAGGAATAACCACCAGGAAAAGGAAAATACGAAGTGTCAAGCGCTTTCGTATATTACATCTTCAGGACTGAATACAGAATACAAGAATCAGAAAATATATACACAAGCCCACACAGGGGCGGAGTCAGGTCAACAAGTAGCAGAGGACAAGGGGTGTGTCAACTGCGGTCACAAATATCAGGTCAGCCTAAAACGAGGTCAGGTCAGGTCAATCCCATATTTTGGCTGAACATACTTACAATTTTCTGACTTATATAATTATCTAATTTATACAAACCAACATTTTGATTCATATTGGAATGAACATTATGCTTTATAACAGAAGATGAATCAAAATGCAAATTGAAGCAGCTAATGGTCACATAACTGATGGTGACAAAGAAATGCGCAACTGCTTAAATTAATATTTCCTATCGGTTTTTACGATTGAAAATCTCGAATACATTCGGAGGTTGAAGCTATATACTCGGGTAGCCCTGAAAACATTCTTAGTCAAATCAATATTTAAATATTCGAACTGTTGTCATTTTTTTAACTTCTACTAAATCTTACTTTTTTATATTTCTTTGTTCATAGTATTATCCTTGTATTTTTCATTCAAGATTTAATACATCTGTGAGGATTCTTTCAAGTTCTATTATCTAAGTTTCTCTTACTTTATTTTTTAGTACATAGTTTTACTGTTTTTTTTGTATGTTGAATTCAGAATTGACTTGTTTTTTAATCATTCGAGAATCAATCGTTCGCTGGTGGGGGTTTAAGGAGCTGCCTTGAGAGCGCAAAATTAGGCGTTTGCAGTTTACCCCCAGTCCGCGGCGGCCAGTCGGCCGCGGTGTGTTTCCCGCGGCCAGTTGGGCTGCGGCCAGATGGCGGCGGCCAGTTGTCCCATTCCCCCGGGTATTGTAGTGCTTCCGGTTATCTCTTATGAGTTTAGCTATATTTAGATCGTATACCACATTTTTTTTTTAGAGGTTCCGTGTAATGCAGGATGAGGCGAATGAAGTTGTTTTAACTTTAAGATAACACACCTTGTTCTCTTATACTGCTAGTGTCAGTAGTTTATAATCTAAACAGCATATGTAGCACCCAGGGGAGTTAGGTTATGTCTCCGTGTGTTGTCATCCTTCTGAGGTACTGTACAGTCGGGGACACAAGTTCGCTTCCTATGGTGAGACTGAGTCACGGGAATGAGTTTCCGAACTGACTTACCCAGACTGTTTCAACTCATTTGGGATCAATGCTGCTTCATTTTGAGCGGGAGCGAACTTTTGAGCCTGACTGTACCTTGTTTTACCTTATTTACTCAATGGCCACCTATTAGAAATGGCCATGCCGACGGAAGGAGGCCAGTGGCCTGTGTAGGAGCCCTTCTTTGTTCTTGATAATTTTGTCTAGCAGTATGTTCCTTCATATTTGTGTATTACATACACCTATCACAATATTCTGTGTGTTTATACCTGCATGAGTGTTTGCAATGCATCTCCTTCCGTTCTCTCCACTAAGTGTGGAAATACAGTGTAACTTATATCCGTATAACAGTTCCACAACCTTATAGGGTGTGTGTGTGTGTCACAAGTTTGTAAAATCAACTCGTTTGTCAGTTCTCAATGGGATTTGGTGCCACTAGACACAGAAGATGTACCGTATATAAAGGGATGATCTGCAAGACTCAAGGTGTTCTCTCTACCTATGTAGTCGGCCAGGAGGAACTAATATGGAAACATAAATCACCGGATGACTCGGCACCCTCGTATATTTCACCTGGTGGTTCAACATACTCCCGCCCTCACAACAGATACTCTCACCCTCACAACAGATACTCTCACCCTCACAACAGATACTCTCGCCCTCACAACAGATATTCTCACCCTCACAACAGATACTCTCGCCCTCACAACAGATATTCTCACCCTCACAACAGATACTCTCACCCTCACAACAGATACTCTCACCCTCACAACAGATACTCTCGCCCTCACAACAGATATTCTCACCCTCACAACAGATATTCTCACCCTCACAACAGATATTCTCACCCTCACAACAGATACTCTCGCCCTCACAACAGATACTCTCGCCCTCACAACAGATACTCTCGCCCTCACAACAGATACTCTCACCCTCACAACAGATACTCTCACCCTCACAACAGATACTCTCACCCTCACAACAGATACTCTCACCCTCACAACAGATATTCTCACCCTCACAACAGATATTCTCACCCTCACAACAGATACTCTCGCCCTCACAACAGATACTCTCGCCCTCACAACAGATACTCTCGCCCTCACAACAGATACTCTCACCCTCACAACAGATACTCTCACCCTCACAACAGATATTCTCACCCTCACAACAGATACTCTCACCCCTCACAACAGATACTCTCCCCTCACAACAGATACTCTCACCCTCACAACAGATATTCTCACCCTCACAACAGATACTCGCCCTCACAACAGATACCTGCCCCTCACAACAGATATTCTCACCCCTCACAACAGATACTCTCCCCTCACAACAGATATTCTCACCTTCACAACAGATACTCTCCCCCTCACAACAGATACTCCTGCCCTCACAACAGATACTCGCCCTCACAACAGATATTCTCACCCTCACAACAGATATTCTCACCTCACGACAGATACTCTCACCCTCACAACAGATACTCTCACCACAACAGATACTCTCACCCTCACAACAGATATTCTCACCTCACAACATATATTCTCACCCTCACAACAGATTCTCTCACCCTCACAACAGATACTCTCACCCTCACAACAGATACCTCACCCTCACAACAGATATTCTCACCCTCACAACAGATACCTGCCCCTCACAACAGATACTCTCGCCCTCACAACAGATATTCTCACCCTCACAACAGATACTCTCGCCCTCACAACAGATATTCTCACCTTCAACAGATACTCGCCCTCACAACAGATACTCGCCCTCACAACAGATATTTACCCCTCACAACAGATATTCTCACCCTCACGACAGATACTCTCACCCTCACATATATACTCTCACCCTCACAACAGATATTCTCACCCTCACAACAGATACTCACCCTCACAACAGATACCACCCTCACAACAGATATTCTCACCCTCACAACAGATATTCTCACCCTCACAACAGATACTCTCGCCCTCACAACAGATACTCTCGCCCTCACAACAGATACTCTCGCCCTCACAACAGATACTTACCCTCACAACAGATACTCTCACCCTCACAACAGATACTTGCAATTATAGCTCCCACAGGAATGTAAACGGATTCATATTTATCACACACCGTGAATAGTGAGTCTGCCCACGTACACAACAGATGTACTCATGAATATTAACAATGTAGGGACACGAACACACCTCCACCAACCCACGCGCACACATAGCCAGTAATTATCCTACAAACTGGTTTCGTGCAGGGTGCGGTACCACGTTTTTTTTAGGGTTATGTAAGGTACCATGTGTTCTGGAGTGATGTAAGGTACCATGTGTTCTGGAGTGATGCAAAAAATTATTAACACTTATTTTCCACTGTACATAACCCTCTATGCTTCACCATCAATTTGAATAATAAATATACACCCACTTAGTAAACAAATACAAGTAGTAAATATATAGGACACAGTGTGGATGACCGCAGGTGCAACAGGTGTGGTCCTCACACAGTTGCTGCCACATGTTAAACTGCCAAACTACCCACCACCACCTACTGTACGTGTGAGCTAAGGAGTGGTAAGGAAGCTCTGAAATGTAGGGAGAGAGAAGTGAGAAAATTCGTTATTTTTTAATTTTGTCGCAGAAGGCTGTTACGCAAGCCTTACGTATCCTGTGAGCGGCAGTGCAAGAAGGATTGCAGAGTAAAGGTCACAAAGGGAGTGTATAACAGTCCCCAGTGGTCAGGATATTGTGCCATTCAATGTTATAGAGTATTTCTAACATTGTTTAGTTCTGTCCATACAATAGGAGTTGACTTATTCATACCGGCTTGGGTGGTATACTTCGGTGTGAGGCTTTATGTCTGACCACATACTTTATTATGCATGAGAGGCAATTAAGAACATTCTATGTTCAGATTTACACATGGAAATTGTTTCAATTAACGTCGTAGACGACATACCTGTGGTACTAATTTATTTAAGGATTGCAAGATGTCTACAGAAACTATTTCTAGTGCATTATGTTAACCAGTAAAAAAAAGTGGCGGTGTTTTCTATTCTTTCGGTTGTGTTGGCGTAGCTCACTGTGTAAGTATTGTACCCCAAACAGTGCATTGTTTACTAAAATGACTGGTCGTCAGCTTGTCAAGGTTAACCTCGAAAGCATGTTAAGCACTACACTTTTCTTTATCTAGAATATAAGGGTTTATACTGTAGGTGTGGTGGGCGGCTCTACCACACGCACCATCGTTTTTAATAACTATTTATGAAGACAAATGGGTCATCGTTCTTATAGATGATGAGTAAATGACGGATTCTATTGTGCAACTGGGGTGGACCCGAAGCTAGAGGTGCAGGGGGTATATAAGCGGGAGGCAGAGAGACCGTGTCAGTCAGTTGACGAAGTGAGCAGGATGGCACAGCGCATAGAAGGTGAGTCTCAATAATATCAAGTGTTTGTGTGGTGAGCCATGCCACGTGACACATTTCCCACCAGTCATTACACCTGTGATAATTCCACTATTTATGGACACCATACATGATGTAACTTTAAATTTGATCATGTTTTGTATATACTGTAACCAAGAGACTTGTGTAAATATTTTAGTAGAGGTGTGTTGAGACTGTGTCCTTGTGAACACGGTAACTTATTACTAGTGTTCACCAGCCAGTGTTCTACCAGTAGTAGTGTTCACCAACCAGTGTTCTGCCACTAGTAGTGTTCACCAACCAGTGTTCTGCCACTAGTAGTGTTCACCAACCAGTGTTCTGCCACTAGTAGTGTTCACCAGCCAGTGTTCTACCACTAGTAGTGTTCACCAGCCAGTGTTCTACCACTAGTAGTGTTCACCAGCCAGTGTTCTACCACTAGCAGTGTTCACCAGCCAGTGTTCTACCACTAGCAGTGTTCACCAGCCAGTGTTCTACCACTAGCAGTGTTCACCAGCCAGTGTTCTACCACTAGCAGTGTTCACCAGCCAGTGTTCTACCACTAGCAGTGTTCACCGGCCAGTGTTCTACCACTAGTAGTGTTCACCGGCCAGTGTTCTGCCACTAGTAGTGTTCACCAGCCAGTGTTCTACCACTAGTAGTGTTCACTCAGCCAGTGTTCTACCACTAGTAGTGTTCACCAGCCAGTGTTCTACCACTAGTAGTGTTCACCAGCCAGTGTTCTCCACTAGTAGTGTTCACCGGCCAGTGTTCTACCACTAGTAGGTTCACCAGCCATAGCAGTGTTCACCGCCAGTGTTCTACCACTAGTAGTGTTCACTGGCCAGTGTTCTACCACTAGTAGTGTTCACCAGCCAGTGTTCTACCACTAATAGTGTTCACCAGCCAGTGTTCTACCACTAGTAGTGTTCACCAGCCAGTGTTCTACCACTAGTAGTGTTTACCGCCAGTGTTCTACCACTAGTAGTGTTCACCGGCCAGTGTTCTACCACTAGTAGTGTTCACCGGCCAGTGTTCTACCACTAGTAGTGTTCACCGGCCAGTGTTCAATCACTAGTGTTCACCGGCCAGTGTTCAATCACTAGTAGTGTTCACCGGCCAGTGTTCTACCCTAGTAGTGTTCACCAGCCAGTGTTCTACCCTACTAGTAGTGTTCACCAGCCAGTGTTCTACCTCTAGTAGTGTTCACCACAGTGTTCTACCTCTAGTAGTGTTCACCAGCCAGTGTTCTACCTCTAGTGTTCACCAGCCAGTGTTCACTCAGTAGTGTTCACCAGCCAGTGTTCACCTAGTTTCACGGCAGTGTTCTACCACTATAGTGTTCACCGGCCAGTGTTCAACCATAGTAGTGTTCCCCAGCCAGTGTTCTACCACTAGTAGTGTTCACCGGCCAGTGTTCTACCACTAGTAGTGTTCACCGGCCAGTGTTCAACCAATAGTAGTGTTCCCCAGCCAGTGTTCTACCACTAGTAGTGTTCACCAGCCAATGTTCTACCACTAGTAGTGTTCACCAGCCAGTGTTCTAACACCAGTAGTGTTCACCAGCCAGTGTTCTACCACTAGTAGTGTTCACCAGCCAGTGTTCTACCACTAGTAGTGTTCACCAGCCAGTGTCTACCACTAGTAGTGTTCACCAGCCAGTGTTCTACCACTAGTAGTGTTCACCAGCCAGTGTTCTACCACTAGTAGTGTTCACCAGCCAGTGTTCACCACTAGTAGTGTTCACCAGCCAGTGTTCTACCACTAGCAGTGTTCACCAGCCAGTGTTCTACCACTAGCAGTGTTCACCAGCCAGTGTTCTACCACTAGCAGTGTTCACCGGCCAGTGTTCTGCCACTAGTAGTGTTCACCGGCCAGTGTTCTACCACTAGTAGTGTTCACCAGCCAGTGTTCTACCACTAGTAGTGTTCACCAGCCAGTGTTCTACCACTAGTAGTGTTCACCGGCCAGTGTTCTACCACTCAGTAGTGTTCACCAGCCATAGCAGTGTTCACCAGCCAGTGTTCTACCACTAGTAGTGTTCACCGGCCAGTGTTCTACCACTAGTAGTGTTCACCAGCCAGTGTTCTACCACTAATAGTGTTCACCAGCCAGTGTTCTACCACTAATAGTGTTCACCAGCCAGTGTTCACCACTAGTAGTGTTCACCGGCCATGTTCTACCACTAGTAGTGTTCACCGGCCAGTGTTCTACCACTAGTAGTGTTCACCGGCCAGTGTTCTACCACTCAGTAGTGCCACCGGCCAGTGTTCTACCACTAGTAGTGTTCACCGCCAGTGTTCTACCACTAGTAGTGTTCACCGGCCAGTGTTCTACCACTAGTAGTGTTCACGGCCAGTGTTCAATCACTAGTAGTGTTCACCGGCCAGTGTTCAATCACTAGTAGTGTTCACCGGCCAGTGTTCTACCACTAGTAGTGTTCACCGGCCAGTGTTCTACCTCTAGTAGTGTTCACCAGCCAGTGTTCTACCTCTAGTAGTGTTCACCAGCCAGTGTTCTACCTCTAGTAGTGTTCACCAGCCAGTGTTCTACCTCTAGTAGTGTTCACCAGCCAGTGTTCTACCACTAGTAGTGTTCACCGGCCAGTGTTCTACCACTAGTAGTGTTCACCGGCCAGTGTTCAACCATAGTAGTGTTCACCGGCCAGTGTTCAACCATAGTAGTGTTCCCCAGCCAGTGTTCTACCACTAGTAGTGTTCACCAGCCAATGTTCTACCACTAGTAGTGTTCACCAGCTAGTGTTCTACCACTAGTAGTGTTCACCAGCCAGTGTTCTACCACTAGTGTTCAACGGCCAGTGTTCTACCACTAGTAGTGTGCACCAGCCATAGTAGTGTTCACCAGCCAGTGTTCTACCACTAGTAGTGTTCACCAGCCAGTGTTCTACCACTAGTAGTGTTCACCAGCCAGTGTTCTACCACTAGTAGTGTTCACCAGCCAGTGTTCTACCACTAGTAGTGTTCACCAGCCAGTGTTCTACCACTAGTAGTGTTCACCAGCCAGTGTTCTACCACTAGTAGTGTTCACCAGCCAGTGTTCTACCACTAGTAGTGTTCACCAGCCAGTGTTCACCACTAGTAGTACCAGCCAGTGTTCTACCACTAGTAGTGTTCACCAGCCAGTGTTCTACCACTAGTAGTGTTCACCAGCCAGTGTTCTACCACTAGCAGTGTTCACCAGCCAGTGTTCTACCACAGCAGTGTTCACCAGCCAGTGTTCTACCACTAGTAGTGTTCACCAGCCAGTGTCTACCACAGTGTTCACCAGCCAGTGTTCTACCCTAGAGTGTTCACCAGCCAGTGTTCTACCACTAGAGTGTTCACCAGTGTTCTACACTAGAGTGTTCACCGGCCAGTGTTCACCACTAAGTGTTCACCATCTCCACTAGTAGTGTTCACCAGCCAGTGTTCTACCACTAGTAGTGTCCAGCCAGTGTTCTACCACTAGTAGTGTTCACCAGCCAGTGTTCTACCACTAGTGTTTCACCAGCCATAGTAGTGTTCACCAGCCAGTGTTCTACCACTAGTAGTGTTACCAGCCATGGCACATCACCACTAGTGTGTTCACCAGCCAGTGTTCACCACAGTTGTTCACCAGCCACACCACAGTGTGTTCACCACAGCAGCACTGTTCTACCACTAGTAGTGTTCACCAGCCAGTGTTCTACCACTAGTAGTGTTCACCAGCCAGTGTTCTACCACTAGTAGTGTTCACCAGCCAGTGTTCTACCACTAGTAGTGTCCACCAGCCAGTGTTTACCACTGCTAGTGTTCACCAGCCAGTGTTCTACCACTAGTAGTGTTCACCAGCCAGTGTTCACCACTAGTAGTGTTCTACCACTAGTAGTGTTCACCAGCCAGTGTTCTACCACTAGTAGTGTTCACCAGCCAGTGTTCTACCACTAGTAGTGTTCACCAGCCAGTGTTCTACCACTAGTAGTGTTCACCAGCCAGTGTTCTACCACTAGTAGTGTTCACCAGCCAATAGTCAGCCAGTGTTCTACCACTAGTAGTGTTCACCAGCCAGTGTTTCTACCACTAGTAGTGTTCACCAGCCAGTGTTCTACCACTAGTAGTGTTCACCGGCCAGTGTTCTACCACTAGTAGTGTTCACCAGCATTTCACCGCCAGTGTTACCATATAGTGTTCACAGCCAGTGTTCTACCACTAGTAGTGTTCACCGGCCAGTGTTCTACCACTAGTAGTGTTCACCAGCCAAAGTGTTCTACCACTAGTAGTGTTCACCAGCCAGTGTTCTACCACTAGTAGTGTTCACCAGCCAGTGTTCTACCACTAGTAGTGTTCACGCCAGTCACCACAGTATTTCACCAGCCATGTTCTACCACTAGTAGTGTTCACCGGCCAGTGTTCTACCACTAGTAGTGTTCACCAGCCAGTGTTCTACCACTAGTAGTGTTCACCAGCCAGTGTTCTACCACTAGTAGTGTTCACCAACCAGTGTTCTACCACTAGTAGTGTTCACCAGCCAGTAGTGTTCACCTCCAGTGTTCTACCACTAGTAGTGTTCACCAGCCAGTGTTCTACCACTAGTAGTGTTCACCGGCCAGTGTTCTACCACTAGTAGTGTTCACCAGCCAGTGTTCTACCATAGTAGTTTCACCAGCCAGTGTTCTACCACTCAGTAGTTCACCAGCCAGTGTTCTACCACTAGTAGTGTTCACCAGCCAGTGTTCTACCACTAGTAGTGTTCACCAGCCAGTGTTCTACCACTAGTAGTGTTCACCGGCCAGTGTTCTACCACTAGTAGTGTTCACCAGCCAGTGTTCTGCCACTAGTAGTGTTCACCAGTGTCTCACACACGCCAGTGTTCTACCACTAGTAGTGTTCACCACTCAGTAGTGTTCACCAGCCAGTGTTCTACCACTAGTAGTGTTCACCAGCCAGTGTTCTACCACCAGTAGTGTTCACCAGCCAGTGTTCTACCACTAGTAGTGTTCACCAGCCAGTGTTCTACCACTAGTA